TTTAAACTGCTTATACACAAACGCTAGAAATCTAAACAATAAGATGGGTGAACTAGAGTGCCTCATATTAAAGGAGGACATTGATATAATAGGCATCACTGAAACTTGGTGGAATGAGGTTAATCAATGGGACACAGTTATACCAGGGTACAAAATATATCAGAAGGATAGAACAGGTTTTGCTGGTGGGGGAGTGGCACTTTATGTGAAAGGAAATATAAAGTCAAACAAAGTAAAAATGAACCAAACTGTTCCATGGAATCTCTGTGAATAGTAATTCCATGTTCTAATAATAAAAATATAACAGTGGAGCTATATTACCAACCCTCTGACCAGGATAGTGATATTGACTATGAAATGCTAAGGGAAATTAGAGAGGATATAAAAATTTTTTAAAAATGTGGAAATGTGAAGGTGCGGTGCTGCCCCGGGAGCTCCCCTGGCTGAACAGGCCCCACCCCAATGGCCCTGCTGGGCATGCTCGAGAGGGAGGCTGGGGATAAAAGCCCGGGCAGACAGTCAGTTAAGGGAGATAGCTGGAGGGGGAGGAGTTCAGGGAGGAGCTGCTGAACTGCACCAGCTGCCCGGGAGCAGCAGCCCCAGCCCCAGCCCCAGCCCCAGCCCCAGCGCTGGGCAGGGAGATCGTCGGACTGAAACTGACCCGGGGAGCAGCACGCAGAGGATGGCTCACTGCATTGGTGGGAAGGAGCCCAGGGTAGAAGATTGACCTCCGGGAGCTCAGCGTGTTCTGGCAGGCATCCCCACTGAGCAGACAGCGAAAACTTTTGCTGCCATCAGGGCCCTGAGCTGGGAGCCAGCGGAGTGGGAGGGCCTGGGTCCCCCTACCTCTCCACCCCAACTCACGTGTGCTCCCTAGACTTGGGGAGAACTATGCCGGAAGGTCTTCCACAACCCTACAGAAGGACTTGTACTTTGGGATTGGGCCTAGAGGGCTGTATATGCCCTAAAAGAGGGGCATTTGCGTGGAATTTAGGGCAGCTCTGTCCAAAGGGGGCTGTAATCCAGCCATAGGGGACATTTGGGTTACCAAGGAGCAGGCACCCCCTTGACAGGAAATTTCAATAATCCCCATATTGCCTGGGTACACATCACTGTAGGATGGGATGAAGAGATAAAGTTTCCTTATACCTTAAAGGACTGATTCTCAGAGAAGCTTATTCTGGAACGCACAAGGGGAGAGGCAGTTCTTGATTTAGTTGTAAGTGGCGGACAGGATATGGTCCAAGAAGTAAACATAGCTGGACCGCTTGGAAATAGTGACTGTAATGTAATACATTTTAACATTCCTGTGGTGGCAAAAACACCACAGCTGTCCAGCACTATGGAATTTAATTTCAGAAAGGGGAACTACATAAAAATTAGGAGGTTAGTTAAACAGAAATTAAAAGGTAAAATGCCAAAAGTAAAATCCCTGCAAGCTGCATAGAAACTTTTCAAAGACATCATAATAGGGGCCCAATTTAAAACACAGTAAGAAAACCAAAAAAGTACCATCGTGGCTTAACAACCAAGTAAAAAAAGCAGAAAGAGATAAAAAGGCACTGTTTAAAAAATTGAGGAAAATGGAAAGGAGCATATACACTATCAAATTAAGTGTAAAAATATAATAAGGAAAGCCAAAAAGGAGTTTGAAGCCAAAAACTCAAAGAAATGACAAAATATTTGTTTAAGTATATCAGAAGCAGGAAGCCTGCTAAACAACCAGCAGGGCCATTGGATGATCAAGATGCTACAAGAGCACTCAAAGATGATAAGTTCATTGTGAAGAAACTAAATAAAATTTTTGCTTCAGTCTTCACGGCTGAAGATGTTAGGGAGATTCCCAAACCTGAGCCATTCTTTTAAGTGACAGATCTGAGGAATTGTCCCAGATTGAGCTAACATTAGATGAGGTTTTGGAACAAATTGATAAAGTTAACAGTAACAAGTCACCGGGATCAGATGGCATTTACCCAAGAGTTCTGAAAGAACTCAAACATGAAATTGCACAACTATTAACTGTGGTTTATAAGCTACATATTAAATCAGCTTCTGTACCAAATGACTGGAAGATAGCTGATTGGATGCCAATATATGAAAAGATCTCTAGAGATGATCCAGGCAATTATAGACTAGTAAGTCTCACATCAGTACTCGGCAAATTAGTTGAAACTATAGTAAAGAATAATATGGTCAGACACATAGGGTACGTCTAGACTACATGCCTCTGTCGCCAGAGGCATGTAGATTAGGCTACCAGACATAAGAAAATGAAGCGGCGATTTAAATAATCACCGCTTCATTTAAATTTATATGGCTGCCGCGCTGAGCCGACAAACAGCTCATCAGCTGTTTGTCGGCTCGCGCGCTAGTCTGGATGTTCCCCCTGTCGACATCAAAGCCCTTTGTCGGCAG